GATATGTATACTCGAGCGATCCTACTCCAGAGCTCCAATCATATATTTCATTGTAGTCGGTACACTCAAACTCAACCGGGGAATGGATTAGACTCGGGTTGCACTGCTGGCAGCTCAGCTCACCTTCTCCATTCTTCACCTCCCCACGGCTACTGCAATATGTAGTCAGATCATCATAGCTGCGACGCCATGCCACTTGCCAGAAAATCACCACCTTTTTTGTAAAAATATTTCAAGAACATAGTTATTTGTCGAAGGCTGGTAAAGTATGTAAGAGGAATATAATATAGGACTATTATAGTATAGGCCAACTGCACTTAATATTCTTTCTTTTATAAGAACACTTTTTATAAGAACACTGAGGCTGAAAGTGCTTAAAAATTAAGAACAAATTAGGAACTAATTGAGGCTGAGTTTAAATGTTAAATGATGTTTTTAAAAAGTAATAAAAAAACAACAACAAAACTCATCTGTACCTTATTTACAGTAGCTGTGACTGTGTACAATCTGTCTCTTATACACATCTAGATGTGTATAAGAGACAGACTGAATGCTTTGAATCGACTCTCTAATTCTACTGTGTCTTCAAAGATTACTATATCATAATTTGTTCATTTAAAAAGTAATTTAATGTTGGTATCTCTAGATTGTACCCAGATTCATCAGTAATGACACGTTGCAGTTGGATAAACTTTTATTTTATCACTTTCCATTTGGATCGCTCTCCTAAAAACCTACCTGGAATATTTATGGTGCTAGTACATCCGTCCTGTACCTTGATGACAGGTATCATTGATGTTACGGGCGATGAGTTTGGTCGCCCTATATCTGATCTCACAGACATGTCAACAGTGGATACCATTTTCCAATAAGTTGTTGGGCCATAATTTTGCAGTGGTACCCAATAGCTGAACTCGGCGCCCGGCGAATATCTATAAATGTAGCCATATTATTGGTTTCATTAGATGAATCTATGTCTGAAACTATTATATGTTATCGCGTCTGCAAAGTTTATTAATAAATTAAATTAATTGTTAAAGGTAAACAAATACTGTACTGGTTTATTTAAAAAGAATAACAATTACACAAACAATCTGGCTTCAGGTGGTTTGAATGCTCTGCTCCAGATCTCTGAAATAATCTTATAAATAATAATAATAATAATAATAATAATAATAATAATAATAATAATAATAATAATAATTGTTTGTTAATGTTTTGATCATGACCACTAATCCTATATACGCTGATCAATACTTTTTTTAAATTATAACTATTATATGTATAAGTAGGGATATTTTGAACAGTTGCTTTTAAATGCAATGATGATACCCAACGAATGTTTGTTACTTGTAATTTCGATCTCTTTTATGATAGTTTAAATGTTTTTAAAAGTAAAATTGTTAAGTCTATGTAAGTGTTCTTCCAACTTTTAACATTATTGTTTACACATATTTGATTACGTTTTTATTCAACCTGTTAGTGGCGGTTTTTATCGCTGTTGGTTTCGAACTGAATAAAATAAAAATAAAAATAATAAAATAAGAATAATGATCATAATGATAACTATATAATTCTAAATAATTTATTTATTACTGTTGTAAACAGTTTAATGGATATCGGGACAAAAATTAATAAACTATAGCAATATACTCACACAAGTGTGAACTTATCTATTGGATATGTATACTCGAGCGATCCTACTCCAGAGCTCCAATCATATATTTCATTGTAGTCGGTACACTCAAACTCAACCGGGGAATGGATTAGACTCGGGTTGCACTGCTGGCAGCTCAGCTCACCTTCTCCATTCTTCACGTCCCCACGGCTACCGCAATATGTAGTCAGATCATCATAGCTGCGACGCCATGCCACTTGCCAAAAAATCACCACCTTTTTTGTAAAAATATTCCAAGAACATAGTTTGTATTTGTCGAAGGCTGGTAAAGTATTCAACAGTGTTAACGGCTAACTCCCTTTAATATCATTATACGACAGTATTTCCTAGCCGTATTGCCAGATTTATCTGGCCGAACGCCCTCTTGAGGCGTAGCATTGTGTAATACAATGTTCCCGACGGTTATTTGGACCTGTTCAACCATAAAGCCTTTGTGGTCTAGTGGTTATGACGCTCGCCTTGTCAGCGAGAGGTCGCAGGTTCGAATCCCGTTGGAGTGGAATTTTATTACACTACACAATTTTATTATGACTTTTATAGGACTTTATTCGTTTAAAAGCTACAGGGTAGCCTACGATGTTCCATCATGTCCTTATTTAAACACTGTATATGTACCTTTGCTGGTAAAGTATGTAAGAGGAATATAATATAGGACTATAGTATAGGCCAACTGCACTTAATATGCTTTCTTTTATAAGAACACTTTTTATAAGAACACGGAGGCTGAAAGAATTAAGAACAAATTAGGAGCTAATTGAAGGTAAGGTTAAATGTCAAATGAGGTTTGAAAAAAAATCTTATCTGTATATTAGCTGTGACTTGTACAATAATTATACTGCTATAGGCCTACAATAATAATTTTGTATGTTTGAAAAGTGTGTGAAAATAGGAAAAAAATAAATAATAATTTTTTGTAGGGCCAATTGCTTGGCTTATAAGTGCATACCTTGTTGTTGTCTTCAGCAGGTCTCCAACCCAGTATTCCACCACGATAGTGAGTAGAATGCGTGCAGCAAAGTAGTGATGCAGTTATAAGTAAACAGTAGTACTTCAACATAATCTTAATTACAAAACAATTAAACAAAACATTTAGTAAAAGCTGTATTCTTTATTCACATGGATCTGATTCAATCATTATCGACAGCCGTGCACTTTGACTATCTCTATAAATGTCACGTACAACAGGGTGGAAGACTGTTCATTTCGTGACACAGTGTTGACTAGAACGGAATTGATTAGATTTGCACGGTTGTACACAAAATAATTTTACAGCAACAGTGTGGACACAGTGTTGGCAAGGTGTGAATGGTGCCAAGGATTGCATAGCGTCCTCTATTGACTATCATTATAAACATCATCACATACATAATATTAATAATAGGCCTAATTTTTAATGTAGTTGATATAACGCATTTTAAAAAAAATGAATTCTTTATTCAAGGGAAGCAAACCTAAAGGATTCGATATGATTTGTTTAAATGCTGAACGAACTATACATTTTAAATTGGACAATGCTTCCCTTAAGGTATTTTATTTAGTAAACTTAGGCAATACCGTAATTGTTACAATGCTAATGTTATAATACAAACTTCAGAACTGCCACAATTTTCCTATAGGCCTATTCAATTATGAGATCAATAAATCCAGTATTTTTTAAATGTAAAAAAATGATTGATAGTAATCTCATAATGCTTCATTTCACCCATAGCGAGTTACTCACCTATCACTGGATGGACGGTGCTTTATAAACCAAGTCTCTATAGTGGAGTTGATTTTAGTAGTGAGAAAAAAAAATCGTGCTGTCATATGAATTGAACTCAGGACCGTGGGATTAGAAGGCAAGCACCTTAACCACTAAGACAGCTCCACTCCCATCGGATTAGAAGTGAGATGTAACTGGTAAGTAATTTTTTGATAAACTGAATTATACATAACTCGGAAGTTTGCCCAACGAAGTTGAAAAATGTAATATATTTCACTATATCCGGTCCGCGTGCCTTTCTTCTTAGGCCTAATACGTTACCAATTGCATGAGACACAATTTCAAGCGTAGGTGTAATAAAATTAAACCTCAGAATAAGCTTATGATTAACATTGTGTTAGTAATATTAATAGTTGGAAATAGTAGACCTAAAGTAAAAAAATCTTTGGAGGATTCGCCAACTTTTTTTTTTTTTTTATTGATTTATTGTTTATGGACTATTATTATTATCATTATTGCTGTGGTCATCGTTTAATAAAGTGCATAATTTGTATGCATTAGATCAACGTTTAGACAAATTGTTGATGTTAAGTCTAAGGTGGTGCCCCCACCCATCTTTTTTTTAAATAGAAATTTTAAAGCTTGTATTCCAAACATACCTGTACGTCAACCTGAGAATCGTATCAGGCAATAGCGTTAT